ACATAGAGGAGGAAGGATTCGCAAGAATAAATATCAAGCGTTTTAAGAGTACGTGACACCTCAACTTCGCTCTTTGTACGTGCGTACTTCCTTCTCTCAGATTGCCCACTTTTATTGTCTAGCTGATACCATGCGCTCTGCTTCGACTGGCAAGCCCTTCTATCCGCCTTCGAATTTGCTTCAAAGGCACAACCCAGGCAGAAGTCGTGTGAACGATTCCTTCGGTCTGTAGGATAGACCCCTAGAGGACAATCACAGATGTGGCATTCCCGTGCACGGAAATCACCCGACAAGAGCGCTAGGGCCTTGCAAAGTAAGCTGCAGCAGCTGCAATTTTTTCTTCAGGCTGTTGTCTGGCGCCTCTCATCTGTTGCGCTCTCTCGCCTCATACTCTCCTCTCCGCGCTTAGTCTCTCATTCCTTAGCACAGCCGATTAGGAAGGTGAGTGAGCCCTTAACCTGAGCGTTTTCGACGGATTCTTTTCCTTTTTTCTTTACTGCCGGCCCATTTCGCACCAATACATTCGCATTCGTGTGCAAGAGCCACACCAATGTGATCCTGGGGCATGCCTTTGTTATATTGCCTTTAATATATTCTTTTGTATAGATCCCAACACTTACGCATAGTTTGTGCAGCTTTTTCCAAAGGCATAGCTCATATGAGTTCAGGTGGATATTCTTTTGGTGCGTGGGATGGGGTACACGACTGCTGCAGGAGTTCTGTTTTCCCGGCTTCGAAGTGCGCAAAAGAGCGCTAGGGCCCTGCAAAGTCCGCTTCAACCGCTTCCATTTTTCTCTCCCGCAAATTTGGTGTCTGCGCTCTCTCATCCATTGTGCTCTTTCGCCGATCTCTCTCTCCTTCGTGCTTAATCTCTATTTACCGTAGCACAAGAGGGAGCACACCGTAATTTTAGCTGTTTTGAGGATTTTGTTTCTTGCTTCTTTACTGCACGCCCACTTCCCAATACTTTAATGGCAAGAACCACAAAACTTGATCTCTAGGCCTGCTTTTAGCCCTGCCTATCCTGCTGTTCCTTTTCCATGCCTGTGAAGGTTTTCACTTTTTCGGGGTACAACAGTGCCGTTCTTGGGTGACATGGCTTCGTGCAGGCAGAATGTGTATTCGTATTTCTGCTGTTCTGGAAGGAGGTCTGCATGCAACTTGTATCTTTGCCATACCGAATTCTTTTAGGGTGGTAAAAAAGTCCTGAGCCTTTCAACTCTTCTTTGGCTTTACTTTTTTATTCCGCGTGCAATGGAATTTGCACATAACGTGCTCGTGGGACCACACCTCATTTTGGCGCTTCCAAGTTTCGCTCAAAATCAGGTAAAATTGTCCCTTAAGGCAATTTTCGCATGGAGTACTCTTCTTTTGAGATGCGCTAGATATAAATACAGTTCTAAGCATTGCTATTATAGATTATATTGTTTTAAAAAGAACAGGAGGTCCGGAAATCGAGCCCGAATTTGAAGGGGGGGGGGAGGAGGGTAAAAAAAACCCACAACTCAAAGTTTACAGTAGTATTTCGGCTACGTTCTGAGCCCTTACATGTGCTCCAAGACTATGAAAAGCTGAAAAAGCCGTGAGAGGTGATTGATCTTCAGCGTTACAGTGCTCAATTGCCAGGCTTATTATCGTGGAGACGCTTACCTTCTGAAACTATATAGTAATTCTCGTATGGAACATTTCTGTGATCCGTTGTCAACAACAGCATTATACTAGTAACTGTGCTAATGTTATGCTGGGTTGTTAAAAATAATTTTAATCAGGCCCAAAGGATAAAAATAATAAGTGTCGGCAACCCATCGACTGAGCTGCAATGGCTCACATGCGCCATTACAGTGGCACCACCGCTGAGTTCATTTCGCTCAAGAATTTCATCAATGGCGAAATTCCGCAGTGACTCTACGCATGCTTCTAGTTGTTACAAACATTCTTTGCTCGCCTGGGTCGCAGGTAAAGCCTGTATGCTGGCGCATCGCAGCCAATCATTCTCAATTTTGTAGTCATTCATAAGTGATAATTTTATGAATCAAGGTCTTGGATAGAACATTGACCGTTGATATATCGCTATGGGCGACATATCTGAAACGGTAGAAGCCTTTGAGCGTGTCTCTGGCTAAGAAATAGCCGCTAGGAACGTGCTCACTCTCGATCCTTCTGTGTTTTCGTTCCAGCAGATAACTGCAGTTCCCACTGGCTTGTTCATGGTACTTAAAGGTTTGCTCAGCCGGCATGAAAATCCATCCACAGAAATCCCATATCTGTGTTCAAGTGGCTTCACTTCCCCCATATCGTCTTCACTCTAATTCATCTTATACACAAGTGGTGCCGCTTTCGCAAGCTCGGTCTGTGGATCTGATCCTGGTCCGGCTTACGCCTGGTCCAATCAAGCCTTTCTTCTTGTCGCAGTCGATCATTTGGTACTACATCTTTTCGAAAGAACAAAACGCTGGTCATACATCGGGTGGCCGCCGGGCAAGTCATCATGAATCATATGAGGGTCCAATAACGCTCAAGAGCCCATAGAACCTTAGAAAAATTGAAAAAAAGCTGCATTTGCTCTTTCAATGTAGTGCAGGTCAATCGACCATGAACCAATCATGCTGATTAATATGTTAAACAGATGTTCAAGAACTTTTTTTTAAAATCCAAGCAACTCAAAGGATTTTCGATTGTAGTAGTGGAAATGTTAGCCACACTATCCAATGTGCTTTGTTCATTATTGCAGCTTTTTGGAACTATATGCTGCAGAATTCGTACAGTTTATTCTGCTGCCGTTCGTATGAGTCAGCGAGTGAGCTGCGTCAACGATGACGTTCCCATAAGTTGATTCGTTTTCGCTACCGGATCCTTCGTTGTTATCTCGCTGGAATCTGCATGGGAACGGCATTTTGTCGTTACGAACTTCGTAAATATCCATGATCTGTGTGTATAAGAGACGCCCACGCAACTAAGCCCCCCCCAAATGCATCACTCCGACTGTTCTTCCCTGATGTCTTTCAACCCCTAGAATACGGCTTCTTCAAATCAAGTTATCGATGAGTTTCGCGTAGTAGCTATCGCTTCTAGCAAGTTAATTATCTACAGAAATCTGGCTAGAGACCATGTGAGCAGCAGCGATCTCTTTTGTAAGCACTCGACTTCTGCTCGAATGAATATTTTTCAACCATGAACTGGCAGATCCATTACCATTTACAAATACACGTTTTAGTATGAAGAGTTTGCGAAACAAAAATTACCTCTCGCTAGCTGCACACAGTAACCAGTTACCTGCGGTACGACTTACTTTATTATTATAACTTATCCAAGGCGAGTAGC